TTTTTGTTGCAGACGTGTCATATTCTTTGATAATGTTGTGGCGAGACCGAGTGGCAGAAGAGGGCTCACCTAAACACAATCACTTGATTCACTTCCCAATTTATTTTTGAGAAGACTATCTTGTTCCATATTTGTTGGATCTGACACAAAATCTATATTTGTTAGCTTTCAAAATATCATTTTTCATAAAAAAAAAAAGAGTAACGGGCCCAGATCTCTCTTTGAATTTGATTTTAAAAATATCATTTTTTGGTTCGGGGAAAAAAAACTATAGTTTCTTAATCGAAAAATCTGGTTTAATTGAAATTCGGCCTCGCAATTAAAAATTAGAAGCCCATAGAGCGTGGTTTCGAGGCCCATGCCTTAGTTGTGTGAGTTTTAAAATATTCAGCGACAACGCCCAAATCATCAAAAATCAAATTCTTGTGGACAATAGGACAAGGTAAATATTAAGTAACCTGCTTAATTTTATATTAATATTAAAAAAAGATCTGCTTGCACAAAATGTATAATATTTTGATTATTTTAATTTTATAATTTATTTTATTATATAATTATTAATAAAAAATTATCGATAAATATTAATTTTTAAGTTGTAAATACTGTATATAATTTTTAAAAATTTCAAATTAAAAGATTAGTATAACATTAGTTCGACTGCAATTCAAAAAATTCAGCGGGTTTTCGATATGGATCATTTAGATGTGAAACATAATTATATAAATATTTGTTTGATCCCTAAAATAGATTTTACATTAAGTATGACAGATTACAGACCAATTGCACTATGCAATGTGTCTTATAAGATTATTCTAAAGTTTTGGTTAATCGGTTGAAAAATCAGCTGTCGAGTATCATCAATAAACACTAAGCTGCTTTCATCTCACACAGAATGATCACTGATTATATTATCATTGCTCACGAAATCTTTTATAGTCCTAAGATACACAAATGACAAGCAAACTCTTATATGGCGTTAAAAACAAATATTACAAAAGCTTATGATTGCTTGGAATGGGGATTGAAAGAGAAAACAATGAGTAGAATGGGATTCTAACAAATTTGGATTACATGGATCATGAATTGCATATCTACTGTCAGTTTTTCCATCCTGATGAATGGAGCAGCAAAAGAAAACATGACACCAACTAGAGGAATTCGATAGGGTGATCCTTTAAGCCCGTACATATTCATTCTATGTCCAGAGGTTTTATCACATCTGATAACAACTACTATGCGAGAGAGAAAAATTGTTGAAAAAAAGATAAACAATTGAGGACAAAGATAAGAAAAAAAAAAAAAATTGCTATAAATCATTTGTTATTCGCAGATAATTCTCTATTCTTTACGTTGGCCAATGTTCAATCTTGCAGAGAAATCAAACGCATCCTAAAACCTTACGAAGAATATTCAGGGCAAATTGTCAATCTACGAAAGTCTGCAATCACGTTTAGGAGCAGAGTTCGCCATGGTATTAAAAGACAACTTCGACACATTTTAAGGATTCATAATGAAGGCGGAGAGGTAAATATTTGGGTTTCTAGCAGCTTAATAGAAAGAAGATTTTATATGTTAAAATACATCATAAATAAAGTTAAACAAAAGACACAAAGTTGGAATACGCAATTTTTATCTCAGGGAGAGAAAGAGATTCTTTTAAAGTTTGTAGCAATGGCCATGCCCATAATTCAATGAACATTTTCCGGTTACCAGTACAAATATGTGATAAAATTAATAGCATTTTGGCTCGATTTTGGTGGGGGTACATGACAAGATAGGAAATGAATGCACTGGTTTGTTTGGGATAGATTAGGTTTACAAAAAAAAGGAGGATTTGGTTTTTGGATCCTTACAAACTTCAACTAATCTCTTCTTGAAAAACAAATATGGAGAATATTACATAATCAGGAATGTTTGATGGCAAGAGTGCTACATGGCAGATATTTTAGTGACACAAACATCTTGAAGACAGTAAACGGAAAGTCACCATCTTTTGCTTGGCGTTCATTACTTCATAACATGAATCTTCTTAAAAAAAGGCATGTGATTGGTTATAGGTGATGGTGAAGATATTAGCTTTTGGGATGATGCATGGTTTTAGAGTTCTGATACGTCCGCCAATGGCTATCAATCCAGATCAATAGCAATCGAATGTTAGTGATTGGTTTGATGAGAGGAAAACATGGTGGAATTCAACAAAGATAAGGGAGCTGGTTATAAAGAAAGATGCAGAGGAAATTCTCAGGATTAAATTATGTTCTCCTAGCAATCAAAACTTACTAGGTTGGATTTATACATGGGATGGGATTGATACTGTTAAATCTGCATATTGGCTTGCTTGTCATCTGCATGCTCCGTTAGAATACCACACACTTCCAGGAAATGTGCATCTCAAAACTAAGATATGGAGTCTTCGTACACCTCCAAAAATTAAATATTTTCTCTCGCGAATGTTATAAAATGCGCCGGAACTAGAGGAAACCTGAAAAGATGGCATATTACTCAATAATCTTTTTGTTACAGATGCTGCCCAGATGAGGAAAGTTCATCACATCTATTTTTTTTATTGTGATTATGCAAGATGCATTTTGGTGTTAGATTATTTTTTCTGATATTTTTCGATTTTTTTTATGTTTTTACATGCAGTTTTTGGCGTTTAACAACAATCACAAAAATCGTTTCTATTGTTTTGTATTTAATCAAAATTTCTTATTTTTCAGCATTTTCTGATATATGGTTCCAAATTAAAAGTTATATTAAATATTAACAAAAATTATAAAAAAGAACTTTTTAAAGAATCAAAATATAATATTTTACTTTACCATGAAAATAAATATAGTACATTAGATAATCTACTCTCAAATTTTCTTTTTTAAAAAAAAATATAATAAATATTCGTTATAAAAATTATATTTTATAAAATTCTCCGGCAGCACTCCGATAGTTTTCGTTAATTGGTTTGATAATTTTTTTTACGTTTGACCTGCACATATGTGTTTATTATAAAATTTGATATGCATATACATTTTTATTATAAAGTTTGCATCAAAACTTTTAAATGACTCTGTAAAACAAAACATAAAATTTTTACCGAAAACAAACTGTAAAGATCTATCTTTGCTCTTACTTCTATTTTTTATTCATATTTATTTTATCTTTTTATAATTTATTTTTAAATCTGGTTATTTTTCGTTTTATCTCTTATCTTAAACTCTCGATCTACAATTAGACTGTATGTGTGAATATGATATAAACTTTTTTATTAAAAATATATAAGAGATCAAATGAGATTATAATGGAAGCTACATATTTTTCAGAAAACAATAATATAAAAATGTAAATTATACAAATGATAATATATCATACTCCTAACATTATCAATATATTAAGTATTTACTATCCTATTAGATAATCTACTATTTTTCTTTTTTTCTTTTTCTATATAAACTTATAATATATGTATATATATATTGTAAAAAATTTATAATCATATTTTATGTAATATATTATAAATATAAGTAGAAAAAATGAAATCATAGCAATTATCAGTTTTTGTCACTTTAAATTTATTAATTTTAATATTATAATTTAGTGTATTTTTGTTATAATTTTATATTTATTTAATTTTAATTTAACTAATCAAAATATTTTATTTTAAAAAATTGGACATGTCATATTTCAAAGTCACCATTAAAATACACTAACTTCTCTTTTTCTTTTGACAAATCAGCTTTTACAACTTAAGTAGTTTTTCAATTAATAGTATTCTTTTTTGTACTTTTGTTGTATGGATTTTTCTTCACCTATAATTGTAAATTTGGTTCTTCTAAATCTCTTCCAAATTATGTTTTAAAACAAAAAAATCTCTTCCAAAGACCTTTCATTCTCATTCTTCCTCTCCTTCCGGATAGTTTAAAATCGGGTTATAAATGTTTTTCTTTTGTTTTTGCTAAAGGGTTTGCTGGGTGATAGTTAAAAAATAATATCTTGAATAAAAAATAATACTAACGTTTAACGTAAATATATATACCGAATTGGTGAGTGAGTTTTTTTTTTTCGTAGACCTCTTAGTGTTTTTTTTTTTTTTTTTTATGAACTAGATTTTAACTTCTTAGTGTTTAGATTGATTTCCATTATAACATAACAGCTTTGATATAATAACAATCTTAGCCTACAAATCAAGGGGATATGATCTAGAATTTAGCTGGTCAGGTCGCTTTCTTTGTAAGTAAGCTTGTCTCCATAACTCGGAAATGTCTTTATCTAAGCACATACATGCTTTTATTTCTACACGTCAAATATTTTGATTCGTGCTCTTGTGGAATCCAATTAATAAATACTCTTTGAAAATTTAAAATTCAAAGGTGGCTATTCAATTTTGAGATTAAATTCAAAAATCTTACCGGTTTAGAACTATTTTCATGGAATTGTAAGACTTCATTTTTTGTTGGAATTTTGTTGCTAATGCGTTTAGGTTAATTTTTAAAACAACAATTAGATATCTTACTATAATTTAATCAATATACGAATTTATTTTATTTTATTCTCTAAGAATATACAGATATTCTGAAACAAAAACATATTTCAGTTGTCAGATTCGTTTCAAAATGCCCGGTTGAGACACAAATTGGTTCAGCTTATATTCCAGTAAGAGTTTGTTTTTAAGTCCAAAGTCATGCCACACGTGAATGAACTTAATGGTGCCAGTGATGATGGCAAAAACGTAAATATATCAACAATCGTATATTTAAGTGAGTCAACGTTTTGTTAATCAAAAGCATAATGTGAATGTATTAATCAGTGTGATAATGTTTCGACGCTTGTAAGTTAAACCAAAGGTTAAAGTGTAATTACCAAACACTGTAATAATATAACCGTGGTTAAAACGCAGAGTAAAGAGGCTTTATAAAAACTCTCTCCTTGTACTCTCTCTCACTTCTGAAAACTTCGAGAAAGTGAAGAGAAAACGCGAGAAAGAAAATTTTGACAGAGAAAACAAAATGGACGAAGATGGTTTTTCGCAATGTCCCAAACACTTTTCAAAACGCGGTTTTGTTGGAGGCGGCGTTTGCCCTTTCTGTCTCCACGAACGACTCTCTTCCCTCTGTCCTGATTGTGCTCACGAGCTTCCCTGTTCGTGTAGCTCACGCGCCGCCGTGTCTTTTTCTCCGTCGTCTTCTTCGTCTTCCTCCTCGTTCTCCCTCTTTTCCGGAGATATCAATTTTAATTTCTCCGGGACCGGATCGGTAGGCCGAGTCGCGAGTTTGATAGAATGCGAACCGACGTTCCGGAGATCGAAATCGATGGCGGTTCCGATTAAACCGGATACGGTTATCGATTCCGGATCGGGTCTACAATCGGATCGTGGTAGGAGCAAGAAAACGTCGTCGTTTTGGAGGATGTTTATGGGAAACAGAGGAGGAGATACGAAGCCGGCGATCATGAGGAAGTCGAGATCCGTTGCGGTCGTCGGAGATTCGAGATTTTCGCCAGCTCCGGTGACGGTAAAAGGGAAAGGATGGAATTTCCCGAGCCCGATTAAAGTTTTCCGGCAATCGAGAGTATCGAAGATGATATTTCACCAACGGTCTCCATTGTACAGAGGTTGAGATTTTCTGTTAGTTTTTTATTTTCTCAAGTAATTTTTAAACTTTATTTTTACAGATAAATAGTTTGATCATTTTCTTGTTTTCTCAAGCGAAAGGGTGAAAATACCAATCTCTTGAAATTGTTTTTTTTCTTTTCTTAATGTCATGATTGTTGTCTATAAATTGTGTAATAGTTATGTGATTCAGCACAGTTTTATTAATCACAAAATTATGCATATTGTGGAATGATATTCTCTTAGTCATTCTGCTATTCTGCAAATACAACGACCCTTTTTTTTTGTTGAACATAACATGATAGTTTTTTAGTTAACCAAAAATATTTGCTTAATAATTCTGTAATTTCTGTAATAGATCCTTTCCTTTTGTTCATTGAATTTATATATTGTGTTGTTACATTTGTATCACTGTTTTGTTGTTTGATAGTGCAAACGTGCTCAGAAAGTAATTAATACTAAAAAGTTAGTTTAGTTTTGACTTAAAATCTGCAAATTCGTTAATTTTCTAACTGCAAGCCTTAGAAATATTATTATACTTTTAAAAGTATTTTCGGCGGATTTTGTGCTTTTCAGGAATCAGGAGCATGTCCGGGATCTTTGTTTATTGTTTAAACTTTAAAATAGTTTCATTAAAATATTAGTTGAGGGATTATGGAAATATGATAGGTGAATTGAAGGAGATTTTGACAGAGGATTGATGCATATACATGATGGTAGCTGGCTAATATTAGTTGTTAAAGATTGGGTTAAAAGGAGATTTTTATATAAAGATAAAGTGATTTGGCCAGCTAAAATATCTAATCTAATCGGTAATCTAATAAACTCTGCGAAGCCTTTTGACTTTTTCTTGCTTCAAGTCCTCCTCCATGGATCGTAGATTCGCTCAGTAGTCAGTATGTGCTATGTTTATAAACCATTTACTGTGTATACCTTAAAATGAAATGGAAAAAACCCAAAAAATAGTCAAAATACTGGATCATGAACATAAAAATATTTAAAAAACATATGCAAAAATTAGAAAACTAGATTATCACATTCTCTGTAATGTGAACAGTTATTGGATTTTATATTTGCAAATCATCTTCTAAGTATTATAAAGTTTGGTATTTTCAGTTGAAATATTAAATGTTGCCTTAAAATCTAGTCTTGTTCAAAACTTTAAAATTTGAAAATCTCTGTATATTAACTTCATTGAACTGAATTCCAATAAATTTTAATTAATAAATTATTAGAATAAAATCTATCGTATAACATAAATATTTATAGAATTTTAAAACACATAAGCTCATCAAAATGTTTTCCAAATCTTGAAAATTGTAAAACATAGAGTTAACTTTAGATGCATTATTGGATAACACTTCTAATGATTAAGGGGTTATTGAATCATGAATTTAAAGTTAATTCTATATGTTTTAAAATCTTCAAGATTTAGTATGTGACACTAATTTTAATCTTCAAAAATCACCAAATATCAAATAAATAACATTAGATTGTTACGCTAATTTTAGTCTTTATGTTACGTCATTTTTTATGTTTTGACACAAAAAATTTTTTGTCAATAAATATAAATAATTATAAACCATTTAGAATCAAAACAGAAGATATCAAATTTACAAAACTAATATCATATTGATGGAATTTACTATACGTACATGATAGTAAATTATCTGCTTAAGCATTTAAACTGCATAAATTATAAAAAGATTATAAATATATATTTGATCTAAAGATTCATTTTAGTGTTACAAGAATACAGACCAGATTATGGATGTAGTCACCATTTTCACCAAGTTATATAACAGTACGCTAATATTTGATCATGCACATAATAGCCAAAATAAAGTGTTTTCAATTCGGACTGTAACGGAGGAAATACTTATGCTTATTACATCTCTCTTTATATATATGTCCATCTATGTCGTTATGAAGAAAAATCAACCTAAACTTGGAAATATATTTGTTTTGTTTTAGGAAAACCTAAAGTTGATGTAATATCGATAAATAGTGTAGTTGAACTTGAAAGAAAAGGTTATGGATGGGTTTTGTTTTAAACTTTGTTCTTCGATCTGTGTCGATTTTTCTATAATTAAGTTTTTTGTTTTGAATTTTTTTTTTGTTTTGCTAATTAAAAAGCATATGTTGGACGAAGATGATGTTCCAAATAACTTATGTTATCCTCGAAGTAACAATACAAAACAAACGTGGGACATTTTGTTGTATGCATTCATTTACCATTTTGTTAAATCCAAAATATAGAGCATGTACCCCAAACGACGAGAGCTGCGTCGGTTCACCAACCACCAATCATATCGGTATTGCCCTATTCCTTAATTCGTTTAAAATACAATACTTTGTTTCTTTATTTTTTTGGCAACACATACAATTTCTTCTTCAAAATTAATAACTAGTTTACAAATTATATGAGTTCAAAATGCTTAATAAATAGAAAGTACCAGTATCATCGTGTTGTAGAATGTCTATGACTTATGTAATGTGGTTATATGTATTACATAATAAGTATATTCAAAGAGTACAATTTGGCGTTTCTGGCGAAGTAACTATGCAGACTAATTTGATGCTCAAATTCCCTTATGAATTACTTATCATGTGGCTGGATAAGTAGTACGTACTTGTGCTGCGATACATTTTATAAAACTAGAACTTCAAAGAACTATTAGTTTTGATTTTAATACAAATGTGCAGACTAATTCCTGATTATCCATCATTTTGGCACGTCTGACGAAGAGTTTAAATGAAATTCAAGATCACATGCTATATCATATGTGTATCATTTAATTTATTTTAATACGAAAAATGAAATGTAGAAATGCTTCAATATTGTTCTGATTAAGAGGTTTTCGAATCAAATGTTATTGGTCTGAAGAAATACCAAGTGAGGAAGACGCAAGATAAAACACTTTCTTTTATTGCGACTTCTTTATTTAGTAATGTTGCGACTTTCTTTTATTGCGACTTTCTTTTATTGCTACAAAATTTATTTCTCTTAATATAATCAGTAAATTTCTGTAAAAAAACGTAATATTACATACTATATATGGTGGACTTTTGATATAATATAAGTATCTTTGATAAATTGGACTTTTGGTTGACAACAAACAATGCTATTTTTAATAATTAACTAAATGCGCCGAAATTAATATTAACTCAGTTGATTAACTGAATGCGCCGATTGATTCGTTGAACCTCATTATTTATTGGCGGTAAATGTACATACTAAGTATCTTTACCACAATAATTTAAGAGGAAATGCAAGAGCGATGGAAATGTTTTACTACATTTTTATATAGGGATTAATTATATAATGTAAAGTTATTCGAATTTCTTAGATCGAATCTTATGTGAGCAGTATGAGAGATTGGTTCACATGGAAAATAAAACGACAACCGATTAAGCTCCTATTAAAAAAAAAACAAAAAAAAAAGAACATGTCAATTACCAATTATTATCAAACTATTCATAACAATTAATTCTTGCCGTTCTATATCACCATTCAAACTAGCCCAGTTAATTCGAAACCTATGTAGTGTATCTCATTACTACATGTATTAACACGTGTTAGGAAACATGGATTAGGAAAAACGATCCATGTATTAACATGGATTAACATGTGCTAACAGTATTAACATGGATTAGGAAAAACGACTCACCATATTTCTACATCATTACAAATTTACAATAACTAGCTTATGTACAATGTATCGGAAGCTTTTTTAAAAGAAAGGGAATCTAAACTAGACTACATTCATTAAACTAAAAAGAAAGAATCTAAAGTAGACTTGATATTTAGACCCGGTAAGTGAATCCTCGTCTGACACGTGTTACATCCCGAACGATTTTGGAGTAAAGCAAAGGATCACGGAAACCCATGCATTATCCAAATTGCACATACAAGATTAAGAAATTACAATAGATATTTTTTTTTGTAACATATAAATAATTCTTTAGGTACTGGTCCACTAAACCACAATAGTTATAGTTTAAAGCAATAAAACAATGAACAGATACGATGTGCAATTACAAACAGTCAAATATGGTATATATCCGAAAATCTCTTAGGAACAGACTATGTTAGATTCGTGGTGACTGGAACAAACACATATTTGTTCAAGGGACCGTAAAGTTTTCTAACCGATAAACTCAATTTAAAACTAAGAAACAGCAAAACAAAAAGAGAAATTGTATTAGTTTTAATAAAATACTAAATATTTTTGCTGCCAAAAAAATACACTGAATATATAGAGAAACAAGTCATCTCAAAAGCCCAAAAAACTTTGTTTCATGAATTGTTTGAAGGAAAATTTTAAATATTGGAAAAACAACGATACACACAAATTTAAATAGATATAATATAATTTAGTGTTTTCTTTTTCTTTTTTTTTTGGTAGATATAATTTAGTGTTTTCTAGTAGTTTGCTTCATTAATAAATATAAAAACTCAATAATTGAGGAAAAAATCTTTAATGTAATCAAATTTGATATAAGAAAAAACAAGCCGACCAAAAAAAAAGTCGAGGAGGCAGTAGCATGTGCATGGAAGCCCTACAGAAACAAGTGATCGCTCTCGTCTTCCTCTTTGGTCTTCACTTTACGAAAATTAACTTTATCTCATTTGTCTTTTTTGTAAAGTTGTATCTTGATACTTTAATATTTCAATTTATTTTGCAGAAGATATACTTTTACATCTTCTTATAAGGCTGATCCAAAGTAATATCGGCCACAAACGAAGTACTTTTTTTACGTCGACTTTTTCCCCCTAAAATTATTTCTTGTGCTCGTTGAAAAATGTTATGGATGTTAAAAAAAAAACCAACGAAAACAAAAAGTTGAAGAGTGTGAGTAATATTAATATAGTAGGCAGGGTGCTAGCCGCTAGGGTTCTATATTATTGGTATGCTTTTGTTCGTTGTTCTATCATCTAGACGTGGCGTTGAAGTTAGGGTTTAAGGCACAGTAGATCGAGTTGTGTTTCGTCTATGGTTTATG